GATGGGAAGAGTCCGGGAAGAGACGAAGCCCCCTGGGGGTTCGGAATTGAAGCAAGGCGTGCTATATAAACCAAGAGGGTCCGCTTCCTAAATGTTGCTTTCAGCTTTCCTGGTTTGTAAACAAAGTAGTTGGTGGGGTGCGTTGCTCTCCCATCGTGCAAGCTGCACATGGTCGCGTGCGCTCAACCATGTTCATGACTCCATGACACAAAACACTCACAAAACCGGGTGGGCCAGAACGACATCCCACACACTGATGGTAGTCATCGAGTGAGGGGAGCCACCCTGATTAGGGTTCCTCATGAGCATGAGGGTCTTAGACCTTGTTACTAGTAGCTTCATGTAGCTTCTAGCTACTAGTGATGCCCTTGTTACTACTGTAGTAGTACTGCCCTTGTTACTCGTAGCTTTTTTTCCACCCGGAACCTCAGGGGAGGCTCCCCGTTTCCCTCCGAGCTTCCCCTTCCGGCCAGTCTCTCTCCGCTCCGCGCCATCCAGACGTGACACCAACTGCCGGAGTGCCGAGTCGCCACCACCGCCACCTCCTGACCGATCCGTACGGGGGAGCTCCACGGAGGTCCGGTACGGCGGTACGGTGGTTGTATTTCCCAGACAATGATGTGAAACACTTTGTGAAGGTTCAGAACAAAACGGCATATGAATATGCAGCTCCACCTTAGACACTTCCATGTGGAAACACATGGTTTCACGTGGTTTCACCAATAGACCCCATGTCTCGGCAATCAGTGACACTGACACTGACCTCCACAGGATTTTGTGAGTTCGGATTCCGTTGTGCAAAGGTACGAAACTGTCACTGTCAACTTTCGCTCAGAGGGAAGTCCTATCTCTCCACATTCCAGTTTAACTCGGCGATGGATCACTGCAACATCCTGGCGAACATGCGATCCCTGCGGGCCCAAACAAGACCAGCATGAAAACATCATCACCGTGGCAATCATCAACTTCACTTGAGCGGTGTTCAAAACCAAAGTAAGAATACGTTAGTTTCATAGCCCTATTCATTCTTTACTTGGGAGTTCTGGACGCTGCTCACTTGATTGAATATGGTGGACAAAGTCCTCCCGAGCTGACTTTGAGATTGGGGTTCTTAGACAATGACTGATATTGACTGATGACACATGTGCGTCGCTAAAGCTAATGACGGAGTGGAGGAAATATGATATTGCAGCAGGGAACCAAACATGCTCAAAGTTGTAAACCAAACTTGCATGAATTTTGACATGCAAATGAACATGTTAAGAACACCATACATTGCTGTTTGCAGGTCATGGGGGCTTCAACCTCAAGCTGCTGATACTCAAATCAAGAAACATCCACGCCTCTTCCAACCAGGCCACACGTCGTTCCAGCGGTCTGAGGGCAAATCGAGGCGGCACGAAGCTTCGTTCGACGTCGCAAGATTATAATCAACAAGACCAGAAGAGAGCTGGTTCTTGCAAGCTGGCAAGACATAGTAATCAGCGACTCCCCCTCCGGCGCTTCTTGAACAATCAGGCCAAAAGTGAAAACTATGCACAACAGCTCTTCAGAAATCAGTTTGCTCAAAGACTTTATTAAGGACGTTTGTGACAGATCATAAGCAGGACGTCTATTCCGGCCCAATCCATCTCCAGGGCTCCCCACTGGTGTGACTGAGACTGAGACATGCCTCCCACAGAAGTGTTTAATTCGCTGCCGGCCTGAGGCAGAAACCGACTGAGGTGTCCCATGCTGGGCTTGAGCTAATGACTGCTGTTCCACAGCGCAAAATAGATGACAAAAGGAGAAAAGCAACCAATTATATTTCTTTTAATTGTCAGTCCATCGTTCTTGGGCCGCACATTCTAATTAAAAGGACATGGCGTAAGAAACCTGGAAAAGGTCCCGCAACCGGGCAACGGCTAAATGTATAGCTTCTTTGCAATACTGCAACTACAATTGGGCAATCACATGCAAGAACATGAGACACCAATCACCAATCGCCTGCGATGGCACGCCAGAGGCGGGCTTTGCCTGCGATCGCGGACAGGAGGATACGCAAGAAACACATGACAACGCTCACTTGCCTTGCCTCCATCATGGCGGATCCACTCCCCGTTCGTGGGACGACTCTTTGGATGTGAAGATCAGTGGAAACAGCTGCGTTTTGTGAGCAAACTGCAGTCCAAAAAGAGTGTGGCTGCGATAAAGGGGTCAGTACCCTCACAAAAGCATCCTCGTCTTTTCTAGTCAAATCCCAATTAACTGGCATTGTTCAGCAGAAATTGGCTGCACCCTCGTGCCCGAAGCAACTCGAACCAAGCACTGCTGCCTTCGAAGTTCGCAATCATCACCATCCGTGTGTGTGTCACAGTATGTCACAATTTTCCATCTCACCGCCACTCTGGGTCCGTGCCTGCTATCAACAGCATCTGGGAAAACTCTACTGATTAGTCTATATACATTATACTATACACAAGGATCTCCCAAAGTGTCGAGCATTGTAGACCAGCAGGACCGGGACGCACCCAGCCGTTCTCCTTGAAGCCACTTGTCTCTGAGGTTGCAATGCACGCGCCCCTTTCGCGGGCAGTTTTTGAAAAGACCGCACCAGACCTCTCCGCTTGCATACGCGCCCTTCTTTTGCCGATGAGCAAAGGACCAAAGTCCAAGTGGTGCCACCAATTTCTTGGAGCCAGCCCTGCAGTGGAGCATGTCCGTCAAGAGCTTGGTCACCTCTCTCTAGCGATCTGATGGCCGCAGGCATGCCCACTGCCCACGCAGGATGGACACCCTGCGGAGTGAGTAGGGTCAAAGACGGAACATCCACTGGGATTCCAAAAACAGCCCCTTGCCATCATGGTCGTCCCAATAGATGGGAGCCTTCAGGATCCGGTCCGATGCGCCGGTACACGGCCTTGTTGTGGTTGGTGAAATCTCTCGCGTACTGAGGCCCAAGCGTGGATCACTGCAGTTGGACATAGTGACACAATCCTGAACGACCCAAAGCATCAGAACTCTCCTAAGTCACGATATTTGATTCACTTCTGGGGCCCTCGACTTTGGTCAATGACCGGGCATTGGCACAAGATAGGTCCACCATGGGCCCAAGATGTGCCAACGTAGCCCCAAGATGGCCCGCCAACATAGCACCAAGCCGGGGTCAACATGGGTACAAGATAGGCCAACGTAGGCAAGATGGGCCAACGTAGCCCAAGTCCTCATCCTGCCACATGATCCCGGGCTCCTCATGAGTCCTCTCTAAGCCGCTCTGGTGCGACAGCTTGTTGCCGCAGCGTCGATCGCGCCGAGACCTCTGCCTGGTACAGTGGTCCTCTAACTCGCCGAGACCTCTGCCCTCGAGGCTGGCGGGGCACATCGCTGATGCCACACTGTCTTCAGCTGCTGAAACTTCAGGCCTGCTTGCTGGACTGGCAGGATCGCACACGCGGCTTGGCGCAGCAGCTAAACTGGTCGCTGGTTGGATCCATTCCACTGAGGAGCAGCAAGAAATCAAGAAGGATAGGATAATTGTGCAAACTCCCGCAAACCCTGCCTTTTCGTGCACGTCGCCTTCGCTCGTTTGGATTGGATGGTCATTGGATCGTCATCCTTATCCTCGGCTTGATCTCGACTTATGATGTTCTCGCGAGTGTTAAGAGGACTAGGCTCGAACTCCTAAAGCTTTGTCCCAACAAACCCAACAAACGGAAGCCTGCAGCAAAAGGAAGCTCACATCAAATCTAATCCCGTTTCACATGCCGCTGTTTGGGAGTCCGCAGATTTGCAAGGCCTTCAAAAACCATCAAATTCAAACACAATTGTTGTAGGTGCACGTGCATGTGCATGTGACCACTGCATGGAATTCAAGAACCATTGCTGGGTATGCAAGTGTATGCACACCTTGCACAAGTAAGTGAAGTATTCACTCTGTATCTGTCTAGGGCACACAGTTCTTGTCTACTAAACAACAAGAGGGACAACAACACACTACTACATATATGTACAACTGACATGAATAATTCACAACTATTGAAACAGTTGCACATGTGTGAACTTCCCCACCAAGGAACCGCAAAAGGCTGAGCGTAATGAACGCCCAAAGGTCTATATTATATATGGTCGAAATCGCTTGGACAGGTTTGGATCAGTAGCTTCCACAGCATCCACTCCTGATCGTCAAACAACCTGAGCGAATGCGACGCGGTCAAACTGGTCTTCTCAAACTCGTCTTCTCACAAAAGACCGGCCAATCAATTCAATTTCGTCTTCTTTCAACAGGTTCTTAAGACACTGAATTACAAGCTAGGGCATCTCAATGTCTGAAGCAACCTTTGGTTTGTGACCTCTGTGAACCAAACATGGACCCCCGGAAGGAGGGTTTCTCCAACAGGCCTAGGCCATGAATTGTAATGTTCTAGGATGTTCTAGGCCATGTGTGTGTTTCCCTTCCTTATTAATGGTGGTTTCATAGTGCTTAATCATGTCTAATCAGTCTAATCCTCATTGTGTTGTGCAAAGACCGGTCAAGGGTGTTTCACCCAATGTCAAGTCTTGCAGAAGCATAATGGATCTGCTTGTTTGGGACTTACTCACTATGCTGTTAATCATCGCACAGTGGGGAATAATTCACCTTTGCTGAAATGACACCAGCCGTCATACTTTTTGAGTCCGACTCATCGCGAGAGTCATGGAACTGCTTAGTGATGACTTTGTACATTGGTTCTCCACCACACAAACTCATGGTGGTATCTAACATGGCCAATGCTCACCTTTGGTGACGGCACCTTTTCGCCGTTGGACAGCCAAAGTTTGCAACAGCAAACAGGCTCATCAAACGTCTCCGAAGACTCTGCTACCACTGCTACCCCTATTTCGTCCATTTTTACTATTCTATACCATATTATGTTGCCTCTGTTTCCGAAGCCAAACCAGGCCCACTTCCTCTTTGAGGAAGCCAGGCTCCACTTGAACAAATGATTACTTCAATCTTGAGGGCTTCTTTCAGAAACGAGCCTTCAAGGACCTAAATCAGACGTCCGAGACTTCTTGCTGCGCCAGCTGGGCAGCTCACCCTTCAGCAAGCGAGTCCAAATGGGTCCTCACCGACCGTCCCGTCCCGTCGAAACCGTCGGCAGCGTCGACCTCCCCGGCGAACGCGGCGCGCGTCGAAAGCGTCCTCCTCGGGAGTTCAAGGCGGCAATGACCTCCGGGTTGTAGATGTTGGTCGGGGCTGGTCGCATGCGGCACCTGCATGGCGACTGGAACAGACAAGAGCAACACCCATTTTTCTGACATCACCTTCTTCATGCTTTTTCAAGGGAAGCACCAGGTTCTACAGGGAAGCATAATGACGCAAAAATGCTCCATGAAGTCTAGAATCATCAAATTCCATATAAATCGGTCGAGATCAACGCAAGACCGCCTGCATTGATGTAGCGCAGCAATGGCCCCAACCCAAATTTGGAATGACATCTGGTACAATCTGTATCTGCTCTTTGGTCTGAACGCATCAAGTGTCCGTCTAGCCGCACAGTTCAAATCAATGCTTCAAGGGTCAAACAAGTATCGGTTTAGATACGATGAGCGTCTTTACACGGATCACCTCCTATGGACTCTGTACTACTCCAGCGCTGCGAGACTGCATGGTCTAAACACACGTGAGACCTGGGAAAATCCTACGGGGCCTACGCCTTAGACCCTGGGATCAGAGTTACTACGTAGATCGTGTGACTTTGTTGAGCTGCAGGGCTGCTGTGCACCTCCTACACAGCAGTTCAGGCTCTGCCTTGGTCGCAATGCATCGTTTCCGCAAAGGGGTCGGGACACCAAGGATTTTTCAGAGGCGACCTTCGTGAGTTCGCGAAGGACTTCGCGCCCTTGGAATGAATGGTCTCAGAACGGGGATCCAACTATTTGGTATTCACCTCTGATCACTGATCATACCACATGTTGGCCAATAGGGGATCAATTTTGACATTTCATTATATTGAACTCATGTCTATTCATTTCATTTTTGAGATCAAACCAATGAACCTACAAAACCTATATTATATAATATTATACAGAAAGTCAAAGGCACAGTGCGACCAGCCCAGCTGTCAAGACTTATGTCAGCCGGCTTGCCTGGGGTTCCCATGTGTCATGTCAGGAGCTTCGTTCCCCCGCTTCGGGTTAGGACACAAACCGCAAGGATTGATTGGCGAGATTCTGCGATGCCGGAGTGGAGGTCACTGGTCTGTGGATGCCAGAGTTTCACTGGATTCCACTATGAATGGAGCGATCGGATGAGCTGGGAAGACACAAAAACCATCGGGTTCCGAAGTGAACGGGGAGACTCCACCCGCTCCCAGTCCTGAAAACCACCCGCTAGTCCCCGAGTCGGCCCGAGTCCTGGGTCCCCAAACATGATGCTGCCATGCGTGGAATGCGCGATTCTCACAGGTGCCAGAAACACAGCGGCAGTGGCCAAGCACACGTTCGGGGCGTGGCACCTGTGACTCAGCCAGCAGGTAAGAACAAACGCAATTGGAGGGACGTTTGCGGTCGTTCAGTGACTCATGCTCTCGTGTATGTTGTCAGCACAGGGACAGTTGAGGAGTTTTGCACGCTTTTGTCAGCTGAAAGTTATTGCTTCATGGGGATGAAGCCTTTTCCGTTGTGTTGAAGCAAAGGCAGCAGCCACAAAGGTTAAGAAACTCCACACCTCTTTGTCTCTTCCTCAAAGTTACCCCCCAACAAGTACTTAAAACACAAGTGTTTTGAGTCGTCATAGGGCACTAAACGATCCTACCAAGGCGCCACATGAAGGCCGCGTAACACATGTGGCGCGCGGAATTCCAAGGTGGACAAGCCGGCGCGGTCGCCCTGCAACAGGGAGATTGACACGACGCCACGGTTTGGCGTTTGGTGGGGGGGTTAGAGGGTGCTGACTCGTGCTGACTCCTTCTTCAGCCAGAAGGAGCCACAAAAACTGCTGATTGTTTGGCCAAAAGAAGGCCCCTGGGTGGCAAAACCAACCTTTCCCATGCGGTTTCGAGACAAATACATTGGAAGGATGTGACAAACATATCGACATACATCGACAACAACCTGGGACAAAAGCATTCTGAGAACAAACAAGGAAAACACTAACCATGGAACATATCTCAATTTATTGAATGATCTGCATCCCTCCGTGCGCCGTGGGTCCTGAAGGCAAGATGGAAGCGTGGTTGTTACGCTGCTTCGGTCTGACATGGCGCTCATCAAAGCAAATCTTTGCTTGGAGCCTCTGGGGTGTTGGTGTATTTTCCTGAGTTTACACTAGGTTATCAAGAGCTGTAACAAAAACAGCACTTGGAAATAAATATGATTTAATTACAGTATATTCAATACAGAATATAATCAATGCACATTCACTAGTGTTTGATGATCAATCCATATCAATCCGCCACTTTGGGCTGATCTAGGAGCCAGAAATGCCAAATGTCAGCAGTTCATCACTGGTGCCACCGGCGGCCGGCCCGCCGTTTCAAATGCGCTGTTGTTCTGCTCCATTCTCAGCGTTGATCTGCACCGGACTTGACAACCTTTCTGCTCCAAGTCACGTCGCACAGGCATAGACCATCTTGGCAAACTTCCTTCCTGGCAACAACAAGATGAGAGAGGAAAACTAGGTTGCCAGGCTTTTTGGAACCGAATCACTTCAGTGATGACAGGGAACTTATTAAGGGTGGGTTCTTGGCTTGGTACTGGACGTAACCTGCACGCATGAAGCTTCCTCTCCCCAGTTCCGGCTTCACATGTGCCTTTCTAGTAAAGGTCAGCACAAGAGTGCTCTTTGTTCTGAAGTGTTCGACAGACGTGTCCGTTTGACACAATGCAATGTTCAATGGGATCAGCTCGCCTCAACAGGTCAATGGGATCAGCAGGTCAACTGCTTCTGCAGACGTCGCAAGCGGCTGTCAGTGCTTCGCTTCAAGCTCCGGCAGGATCCAACTGAGGCCAGTGTCGCGGACAACACCTGCACCAGGTGAGATAGAAGTCATGTCAAAACGATACCCGACGGATCGCAACACAGTCCTAAGGAAGCAGGCCATGCTGCTACAGGAAGTCCTAAGTCCTAATCCAACTAACCAAACATGAACTCGGAGGTCATCCTACACAGGCAGAAGCCTCTCTGATATGAACTGCCACTGCGATTCCCTAAATATTCCGAAATCCGAGGCTTTCGCTTGGCTCAGGTGAGGTATGCCAGTCGCGTTTTCTGGTCCAAGCCGCATGGCAGAAAGCGACTGGCACATCGCTCTGCAAAAATGTCAACCTTGACTCGAAAGGGAAGTCAACATTTTGCTGTGCAAACTTAGCCATGGGATGTTAGGATGTTACAATAGTGCCTAGCTGGCAAAAAGAAGCGCTTACAAACACAAACGCACAGGTCATGCAAAGACTGCCAAGCCCATCTTTCATAGTTCTTTCATGTTCTTTCACAAGAATTTTCCGTCAGTCGCTTCACCTAGTAAATCCAGTCGCATCCCTCGGCTGAGATTCCCCACGTAGTGGTTCACACGCAGCAGCTGCCAGGGCACTTCCACATCAATTGCTCCAAAGATGGAGCGCGCATAGTGGTCGTAGACACCCCACACCTATAGAGATGAAGGAAAAGCCGGCGTAGTGGAACCAACGCAACAGTCATGGAATCCAAGGGGGGGCTCTGTGGAATCATCGAATTTGGCTGAAGTTTAAACTTCGTTTGTCGTGGAGAGGTCAATTGAAATAGCAAAAGTTGCTTTGACGTCGCCATGGTTTTCGCAAGATGCCATATTTATGGACGCTTCCTTGTACCAAACACCTGTATTTATCTTTTGAGAAAAGTGGGAATGTACAAGAAGGACGTACAGGGGTCAGCTCTTTCAAACTCCCAAAAAGGCTCAAACATCGCGCCAAACAGGGGACAACAGGACCTATCGTACTCTGGTCACATGTCATGAAGGTCCCACCTATCTAGCCCCAGAGCTGCAGTGCTGTTCCGTTGCTCCTTTGTTTCACCTTTGTTCACTGCGGTACTGGTCAAAGGGCACCGGCGGCACCAGAGTTCACTCAACCTGTTCAGGTACACAAAAGCCTCAATTCAGGACTTAGGCGAATTTACAGTGACGTCGGGTGAGGTCACTATAATTCAGGCAGATCAAATGCTACTGTATTTATAATATATATATAATTTAACTTATATATGATATATAATTATGATTATATATATAATATATTATGGCCACTCAGAGAACCTCGTCTAGGCGTCCCCAACCTAGCCACCCAAGGTGGATGACTTTTGAATGCATACAACATAACACAACAATGATACAATATTTAATCAAAGCATATTAAAACACTAACAACGCAGCGCAAGCCTCACAAAGGGCTTGCCTTGACTCCGAGGTCTTGCCAAGCAATGACAAATCCTGGCTTTCAATAGCTGTTCTTGTCAAATATTTGCGTTCCAAGCTACATTCAAGGGATTCTTCATCGTCACGCCAGGGTGATTCAGCCAGCATTCATCTCTGGGATTTCCCCGGCCAATCTCTGCCAACACTCGCACTGGCTCAAACGCGCGATGTTGATATCTCTCCTCACAAGGGCGTCAGGGCACTCGTGCATCTAATAATATCATCTAACGTCATCGCGTCTCATTTTGCATGGCACCGCATGTGACAAAAAGTACCGACAATGGACGAGCACATTTCTTGCTGGGCGGAGTGGGTCGCTAGTCCGGGAACTTGTTTGGAATTGGCAAACCTCATTGTCTTTTGCTACCAGAAGCAAATAGCATTGAAGGCGCTTGCCTGGTCCCAAGGACATTCTTGCAGGGAAGAGCAAGGCTCTTTGATTTTGTCAAAAAAATAGGTTGTGTTACAGAATGTATGATAATGGTAAGTTTCTAAAGCCAAAACAATACGGAAAGCATACACCGGATGTTGCTACTGCAACCCCACGGCAGCTTGTTTCATACCATTCCCACGTGGGGCATGGCGGGGTCGAAAGCATAGGGAGCAACTTTGTTACTAGCCAGAGTGGTGTGCTGATGAACTACGTTTGTTTCTTTCCGCCGCAAGCAGTTTTGTGACTCCAGCACAATCTGTCAAAACCTCATGTTCTTTCTAAGTTCTGCCACAAGCATTTCTTTTCACGTTCCATCAAGATGTGGTTTCTTCCAAAAATAATGCCCTAAACAGGCCTAAACATGTTCATGTGTTTCCTTTTTTTTTCTGGAACCATTTTGGAAGCTCACCTCCAACAGATCAAGGGAAACGGATGAAAACGGTCTACAATGAATTTGTGAGCATGAAGATCACCCTCCTGTAATCCATTCCTGGAGGGTCACCCATTCCAGACCCGGCCCGGCCCTAGTAGTTGAGGGTATCACAATTCCACAATAAGACCTACAAACCAACCACCCCACGAAAGCCCCACACGCACACACACACACAATTCACACACGAGTCATTGACTTCTTCAAATGCAGAAATAAATGAACCAATGACGGCACAACACATGAATTGGAATGAGCCACAACTAACCACGATGAATTGGAATTGACTGCACCACCAAAGTCCAACATTGCCAGCGGCACCTTGGAGGGCAAGTGAATTGACCATGATGCTGTCCTTCATGCATGGGTTCATATGGGCTCTTAATGACCCGCATTCCGACTTAAATGGAGTCTCCGTTTGGATAATATTTATAATACCCGTGGATTGTAAAACGTGGCTCACAAATACATCAAACGACCGAAAATTGATTGGCACATCTTGCGTCTGCTGAAAACTGCTTTCGGGATTTGAGGGTTCTCCGGGTTCACGCCGTTATATTTTCTTCAGATGCCACCTGGAGCCCCACCACCTTGCCAGGCTGCAGTGCCGATCTCATGGCGTTTGGACTCCAGGTGGTTCAGTACCACGTCTAAACGATGCCCAGGCGCCTGAGACGAGAGTCCGGGAGTCGGTGAGTTGCACGGGCGCCTCCGCACCGCCCGTGGGCTGTAGTGGCACGGCTTCAGCCTCTGCGAGGGTTTATGGGTCCAACTTGTAGCCCACGTGGGCTGACACCAAGTAGCTCCCAGGGAAGAGCCATCTAGAGGCAATCTAGGACACAGAAAGACCGCCAAATTGCTGCAAGACCGCACTTCCACATGCCAACATATCCCAACAAACTTCCAAGGCTCTGGTGCTAAATATGCATCAAAACTATGTAGAGTAATCACCTGGGCCGGATGAGAACTTGGCAACCCCGAAATCAGAGAGTTGTTGGATTGGACCTCAGGTCCGCCTTGAAAGGAAACAAACAGGACCAGTCCGGGAGTGGAGAGATGTTCATCCAAATCGCAAAATCCTTGCAACATCTGGTAATGATCCATGGGTTGAAGAAAGATGCAGTTGAGCTTCGAGAGCGCAGAGGGGGAATATGTCCCAAGAAGGGTGGTCACATCTGTGAGGCATCTTGAGCCCCTTCATTCTTACGATGTATTATGATGATGTATTTACAGTTCGACGAAGCTCTTCCAAAGACCACATCATACTGCATTTCAGTCCTTCTCGCAAGCCTGCTCAACATGTTCAATGCTGCTTGAGGGCCCAATCGGATCTTCCACGTTGGCTCCACAAGCAATGAGCCTGGCTGAGTTGTAGCTCTGGGGGACTAGGCAAGCAACGGGACACTCAGGACGAACCCAGGTTCCCATCAGCTCTTTTTTCCCCCAAAGGTCTCGGCACCAAAAGGCTCGTGGACGCGAGCGGTCTCCCCGTCCCCAGTCCCCAGCCTCCGCCACGACGCTGAGGCAGTGCCGGCAGTGCTCCGTGCGGCTGATGGTGCCGAGCTTCTCGGAGAGATGAGAGGGCCAAAGCGGGAAGTAGGAGACCTGCGGGCGGAACGTGTAGTCGGTGGAGACATGGTTTTCTTCTGCCGCTCTGCCCTCTTCCTACTTATGTAATTCAGAAAGGGTGACTAGTTCGCTCCTGGCCAGGACGCAGCTCACGCTTCGTCAAGGAAGTTCCCCCCCGCCTGAGGGCGGGCAGGAGCTTCCTTGAAGAAGCGCTCGCACTAGTGATCTGGTTCCTAGATTTTTAGGGAGACTTGACTTTTCTGTCATGAACATGACGACAACTCAGCAATGTCCACAAAGACTCATGACTCATGTTGGGCATTTAGCTTTGGCTTGTATATTTATATTTGGCTGTAGGATTAAAGTTGAATCTAATCTTTTTCAAGTAGCAGCTCCGTCCGCCAAAACTGTGAAACTGACTTCCCAATCAACGCGCAATTTGCCAGAGTACAAGTTGACATGCAACTGAAACATTGGCTTTAACCATGTGGTGGGTCGAGCTACCTTTTGTCTCGTATGATGAAAAACAACAGCAAACCTACCGAGCGAAAAAACATTGACTCCAAAGGAGGTTGTGAGAATCTCAATAGCCCTTTCCATCCTCCTCTGTAAGTTGTAGTGCTCTCAGCAGCAACTACATGCGAAACTTCACCGATGAAGAAAGCTTCGCCGGCGAAAACTCAGAGTTTTTGTGGCAGCGAATCGAGTGCCCTGCCAGCGATAGAGTGCCCTGCCTGTGCATCTGCAGAAACAGAAAACACCTGCTGGATCTCTGCTGCTGACCCATCAGAATCATAGAGAGCAAAGTGGTCCACACCCATGGCCTGACTGAAAGTTGAACAGAAGGCCAAGCAATATCTGGAACCCATGAGCTGTTGAGTTGGGAGTGTCAACATACCCCAAAGTGCCTCTCACTCCTCTCACTTGCTCACCATCAATCTACATACAACTACTTCCTGCACCAGCGAGACTTCTAGACATGCCAGGCAAACGTCCGACTCTGGTCCCAGGCGAAAGCTTTAACATATGGCTGTAACATCTGGTACCACAGTCAAACAATCATCATCATCATCATCATCATCATCATCAGCAGCAGCAGCAGCAGCGGAACCATTAAATTACTTCAAAGCCCAACCTCAGGACATACGACCCAGTTCCACATTCCAAATTTAAGTGAAGCAGAAGCCTGATGATAGGCCAACCACTGCTGTAGCAGTGAGCTGCCCGCCATTTGCTGGCCTAGAGGCTGCGGATTGGTGCGGATTGTTGCTGCTGCAATACGCTGTTGAATTGCAACAGTTTCCCCAAACACTGTGATTCCTGAAAACATCCAAAAATATAGACACAAGTGATTGAGGCATGCTTTCATTTAACACTGTATGGGTCCATCAAGGTGATCTGATTCTGCGTAGAGTGAGTGGCCTACAGGAGGTGTCGCTGCGTTGCTGAAGATTTCCACCGGTTTACCCAACTGAGATTGACATCCAGGTCACTCTTCCACGCTTTTACACTTGGTCAAAGCACTTGAAGTCACGTCAGGCTACGTGTATATATATATATATAGTATGAATATGGCATAAATAGAGCTATATATCTATATTCACACCATACACATGATTATACACTGAATGATATTACATTGTTCCCCAAATGGATCCCTCATCAAGGCCACATCGAACCATCCAGCACAGTATGCCATTATAGTATATTACAGTATTGGCGGCAAGAATACAGGCCCGGGACCACATGATTTGCTCTACTTCGCCGTACTGGACATCATCTTGGGGCTACGCAACTCTGACCATCTCATACGTAGCCTCTCACGGAGTCTATTCGGAAACGGTGGAACCTTAGGCACTCGCCACTGGAGGGCCGGATCGAAGTGTCACCCGAGCGAGGTCGTCCGGAAACGGCTCGAGCGCTCGCGCCTGCATTGAACATGACCCCGCTGCAAACGGTGAGGCGGAACTGGTGCCCTTCGCTCTGAAGCTTGCAAAGTGGAATGTCTGGAGCTTTCCAGTCACCTGCAATGCAGTTGCAGAAAAGCATGAACTTCAGCAACACATTTCATCCATTTCATTACATTTCCAAGGGCTGGAAAAGGATCAGGTTGTGTGCAGTTTGGTAGAATATAACACTCTTTTTCCTGACAGATCGAGACCAGTTAAGACCTGCGAGGACATTAATTAGGCCACGTGATCCCTTTTCTTTTTCCCAGCCCTTTGTGTTTTCTACGGCTGTACTAAAACGATAAAATACGTGATCCTTTTCTCTCACCATGAAAAGCACCTGAAAAACGGGCCTGTCTCCAGTTTCACCACCAGTTCTTCCCCACCGATGGTGGGCTCATCAACTGAGAAAGCACATCTCACCACCACGTCAGTGCCTCAGCCAAGCGTCGGAGTTGAACCCGCCACTGAATTGACAACACCACACGACCATTTGACGCTATGGGGGGATTCTTCAAAACGAATGTCGGGGTTCTTCAAAACTGTCTGGGGGGTTCTTGATGTCTCTAGTAAATGATAGGAACTTTGAGAATGGAAATGCAAGCATCGACAACCTGAAACAATACTGTCGAGTGGCGGTGTGTTGGCTCAATGATGCTCAATGAATGCTTTCCATCTGTCTCTCTAGTGGGACGATGAGTTCTGCTCAAAACCGTGAACAAAAACCCAGTCCGAAACCAAACAATCCCAATAACATGGTCTAACAGCTTGGTCTACTAAGTCTACTATTTACCTTGTTGGCGCACTCTCCAACCATCTCCAACCGCGGTTCACGCCAAGTCTCCGAAAGCAGAAGCACTGGAGCAGTCGCTCCATTCGCCCTGGTGAAAGCGGTGTGGGTTAGGACCTGTGGACCTGTGAAACCTGAAGAAACCATAAGAACCCCCTATAGTATAGGTTTTGCTGTTTTTTGTTTTTCCAGCCCGCCCTTACTTCATTAAGTTGGTGCATATTGGGCGCCTACTTAGTAAAGTATCTTAAGTTAGTGAGGGAGTAGGCTCCTGGGTAGGACGCAGCTCACGCTTCGTCAAGGAAGCTCCCCACGCCTGAGGGCGGGGGAGAGCTTCCTTGAAAGAAGCGCTCGCACTAGTGATCTGGTTCCCAGTTTTTTTAGAAAAACTCGGAAACTTAATAATTAGCCTTTCTGTCATGGTTTCTTCCACCCTATGTATATAGGCTTCTTCCGGGGTGGCCTTTCTTACATGAAACCAAATGTCTTCGCACCTCACCCAGCCGGCCGTACCAAGCTCTGGAAAAGCTCGCGGGCACGGTGCGAAGGTTGCTGCCAGACTGGGTGATGTAGCACTGGTCCTGGCGACGACGCACGACACGTTGGGTCAGATAATGATACACCATTCTGCATGGGGTGGCCTCTGAATCTATCCAAGACTCCAAGACAAGTCAGGTCTGAGTCTACCAAAACTACGTAACTACGCAGCGTGGCTGCACCGTTTGGAACGAAAGAGTCCGTGCGTCACCTATGACTGCAGTCCACACATCGCTACGAAGCTTCCTTCAGCTGTTTAAGTTACAGTGATGTTAAAGCAACGACAAGGCCAAGGACCAAACACAAACCCCTTAGGACGGTTTGACGGGTCATTGACAGGTGCTGAATCCTTTGATGTACTAGCAAAGTAGCGAGCACACCTCCAAGCGCGCGAGTGATAGTCACAAATTGAATAACAAGGGAGCTCCGAACCATCATGTGCAACAGCTGTCCGACATCACAGTTTGCACTGAGGTGCATTGTCTGCATGGATTGCAGTCTGCATTCTGCGTAGAAGAAGGAGTTAGTCGACCCAATCATCCTTCTCTTCGATCAAATCCCAACGTGCTGAGATTTGCTCAGCGGGGGCAGCCATTGTCACAATCAAGAGGAGCAAACGCATTCATGGAGGGAGCAGTTGGCTTTATCACCATGTGCTAACTATGCTGGCGGTCAACAGCGTCGCGAGAAAAAGCGGCTATGTTGAATCTTGTGTAAGTCCATGGCTTCCGTAAGGCTTCCATAAGGCTTCCAGAACTGCTCCAACCTGGAGGAGTCCATTGCTCCAGGCCAACCTTCCGCCCAATCCGTTCCCGCCGGTCCCTGGAGGTGACATGCATCACCAAGTCCAAGAAGAGGCACTGGTCCTCTGCTTCAGCAAAGGCCCCCAGAACCTCAAAGCTGGACTCAATCTCTTCAACATGGGCTAAATACATTGTGGATGATGGGTGAGGGGTGAGAAGACCATGAAGGGATTCATGCAAATAGCATCTCAAACAGGCTTTGCAAGTTATCTCTTCTATCAACAACAAGAGCTCCGTCGAGCCGAAAATCTTCGGCAAAGCACATGGATCTCCACGTCCCGCATGAAGGCACCTTGAGGGAGGTCAGGAGTTCAGTGAACTGAAAAAGATTGCTAACGGGTTTAAAGGGAGACCCGTTTGATGAACGCGACGTCTTGGGATACTCTGGGTCACTTCAATATTTCCTGGTGACCCGAATAGGAGTACCATGAATCGAGAACTGCTAAATATTGGCATTACTGTAGCAGGTTCATCTAACATTATATATGTGCATTATCTTGTTGAGTCTGTGACTATTGCCTGAGCCCACCGAGCCCAACACGTTGATTGACCTGCTCCAATTTATCTTCAGCGTCGATCCTTTGATCGCTGCAAGTTCCGCGCGATTTCTGCCGCATGACGGCGTACAGTGAGGCACATCTCTGCAAGCCAATAAGTCATTGCAAGCCACTCCTTTGGCCACTTGGCAAGACTTGGCCACTTCACTTGCCGTCGTCGTGGGTCCCGTTTTCTCCCACGGACTTCAGCCTGGAGAGCTTGTCATGATGGTCTCGAGCATGGTGCCGATGGATTGCTTGAAATTCCGGGATCTGGAGGCTGAAATGGCCAGATCGATTGCTGCAGAAACGATAAGGCTCAGTTGAGCCTGACGCTTGGAGTCAATCTCTTGCCATGCTTCCAGTTTGGACTCAGGACGTTGGAGAGCAGTGATGGTGAGGTACCTCAAGCGTTCAACTCAGACTCAACCAAAAGTGCCGCTAATCGATGTAAAAGGCAAACGGCTACCACCTATGACATCTATGACTATGAGCGATTTGGACCCCAAAAACAGCAGCTTGCCGAACATAACCTGGCTCATGTTCAAGTGATTCAGTGGTTCCATTGCCCTTGTGGCCCTTATGGTCAGTTCTTGGCTCAAGGATGCTCAAAGCAATTCAAGGTGGGCCTTGGGCCTTGTATGGATTATGTGTGGGAGTGAGTGCACCCGGAACAATCAGAGTGCGATCAGGTTTGACAAAACCATACAAACCCCAAATTGGCCAACAGCAACACCATCTCAAATGCTCATCCAGCTGCTTCATCTCCACATCGCTGATGGGTTGAGCATCTTCCGCTGCTTGCTTGGCCCTCATGGCCGTTTGCCAAATGCTGTCGGCAAAAGCGTTGTGAGGGCGATTGTCACTAGTCACCTGACGATGGCGCGACAGCCCCTCACGCCGAACCCACCAAGAGAGAGAAAAGAGGGAGAGAGGAGCCTCCTGGAGTGCTGAAGTATGCTAAAGTTGTAACCGCGTGCTCTTTGGAAGTTTATCCACAAAAAGCATGTTGCAGGCATGTGATCCCAATCGGTTGTAAATTCAACAATGACTGACGAAATGTGGCCTTAAGCTCCTCGAAGTCCAGGCCATCTTTGTTGATCGAACGCACCACCAAGCCTGGAGAATGCGCGTTCTGGGCTTCGCGTTCCGGGCTTCGCGTTCCGGAGAATACAGGTTGGCTGCCCCAAGCCATCCACAAGGGTATCAAGAGTTAACACAACTTGATACTCTTGTGAAGGTCTTCTACCTTTAACATCTCAGGGCACCCACAAGTTCGCCAAGAAGCGCACCACTGCAGCGGCAGGCAGGCCTATGAAAAGAAATGGCTCCAAAGACTGAAGGTCCTCCTTGCTGATGAGGCCCTCATCATGCAGTTGAGTTCCCAAGGCCGCTGTGCGCTTCAAGCACACCTCCCACACCTCCCTGGTACCTTAGCAGGGTGCAAACATGCCACATCAATGAATCAACAAACGCAGCAAGCTGCCCATGCTGTTTGGAATCAAGGAGATTCGAGATGCCCCCAAACATCGGGCCTCTGCCCTCGCGTCTTGGAGAGGCTTACATGGCAATGCATTGGTCTCTCAATCCGTAGTCTGGCCGTGCCTGGTCTCTCAATCCCTTGGGGGCATTGCTCGGAAAACACCCCGATGAAAAAGGTCCCAAACGTCCGGACGAAGAGACTGATGTCACCTGTGACATATCGCCAGGTCTGGGACTGCTCGAAGAAGGCGGAGTCCAAGCTCCTGCTGCCTCCAACACCAAGTTCCATATCTGCCTGGAGGGAATGAATCTAGCCGCCTTGGGGAGGATGTGAGAGGCTTATTGATCAAAGTAGTAGCTTCAACACAGTCAGCATATTCAACAATCTGCAACAATCAAACCAAAGGAATTTGCTGCACACACTCTATAATCACACAGTCTCACCATCTCCTGCCCAAAGCTTTGAGGATGAACTGCATCCAAAGGTGGATCTCTGGGGCAAAGATGTAGGTCTGGTTGCCAGTTGGTGTGGTAAGACCAACAGTCTGACACAATCAGGTGTAGTAGGCCTATCAGTCCTGAAGATTCTCCCAGATCGATGACCCCTCCCACCAAGAGGTTCATGAGGCTAATCTCTTCGTGGGCCAAAGTGCCGGAAACGATCCACCAGAAAGCAAAGAGAAAGAAATACAGAAACGACAACACCAGCACTAAGGGCACACGCAATGGCCACAGCCGAAGTGTCACGAAAGATGAGCAGCACTTGCCACCACAAAGTCCTCGACATGCCCGGAGAAATATCACTGGACTCCAAACCAGTGCAATGCCAGCAAAGGCCAAAGCCAAATAGAGGGCTATGAGCGGAGCCACCAGAGCAGCACGGGCACTTCCGAAAATGAAGCGGACCGTAAGAAGAGGAAAAGCCCATAAATTCGCACATGCAATCATGCATGGGAGGACACAACAAAGAAAGCATCCACACAAACAATAGCCCAATGGCCCCTTGGGTACAATGTCTTGAGCGTCCATCACAGGCTGGAAAGACCCGGACCCGGCTTTCCATGCCATTGGACCGACCATAGCTCTCACAGCGTGTGGTGGGCCCTTCACTGCATGTTGAAAATGCCGGTTGTTGAACGCTACTAGTCGACGAGGCTGAGCATCAACGACATGCTGTGAGCCTGTGCCTTCTAGCACTAATTGAGAGCCAGGCCCTTGTAGCCAAATGATGACTGTGTAAGTTTGAACATAGTGACTCCGCAGTCCTCCCCACACGTCACGATGACTTCTCACATCCCCTCGGCTCATCATCGCAGGCAGCAGTACATCCCCGCGACCGCTGCTCTCGACCGGGGTGATGCCAATCGCTGACCTTGCAGCTTCGACCACAGGCCCCGGCACTTGGACCTCTGCTCTCCGACCAGTTCCCTGATTCACCAGGCCCGGAAGCTGAAAGTCTTCAAAGGCCAAAAGCCCTTGATGCTCCAATTGATCCAAGAGACTTTGCTGCAAAGCTTCGTCAATAAACTCATCGATGATGATCAAATGATCCATGCCATGCAGCCGGCTACAGCTTGAGGCCAAAGGCTCTGTCACAGAAAAGCAAAACTGTTGAACATCTATATACATAGTTAAAGTTCAACAGTTCAAAGTCTGGCTCCTTTTGAAAGCTCACGACGTCCTTTTCGGTTGAACATGTTATAAATTTCCAAGCTGCTCGCTTGGTTATAGAATGTAGAAGAGGAATCTGGGTCACAACTCTGCATGCTGGGGCACTGTGCGGTTGAGCTTGACAAAGTGAGAAACGTGTGGATGAGGTCTGTGGCGAAGGCGTCTTCCGGAAGCGCTCGACAAAGGCTCGGTCACAGTGTTTTCGCCTGTAGAAGGAGATCAACATGAATTGGATTGAGTTAAACAAATTTTAAATAGACCGGTAGAGCACATTCTCAAACATGATGAAATAATGATGAACTACTGTTGCCCTTGCAGTATGCCGCCTGTTACAACTACAACCTCCCCAAGCAACACTGGCCGCTGACCTCGCAGTAGCCATGCGCCACCAAAATGAGGACCATGCAGCTGCACCCTCCCGGAGCAAAGGACAAATCCAGTCGATTGGTGTGCCATTTGGCAATATCCCAAAACTCGCAATCCTAACCTGGGACAAAGTAGGAAGTAACTTTTGACACGTACAACAGGAACACACCATGACAGAAAGCAACATCAAAAACAGTACAAAGGCACTCAAGTCCACAAAGTCTGAAGACCGACCAAGAGGACGCAGAGATTGTGATGAATCCGTAGATATTACGCCCGGGAAAATTAACATGGAACCTGAAAACCACTGGGTTGTAGAGGAAAATCGTCTTCCAAAGGTCCATGTTCAGGTTCCATGTTCAATTTCCCAGGTGTATGTGTGATTGGAGGTCCCGAACATGCCCTGGCAGCCCTGGCGTCACCCTCCAAACTCTCCAGGCACCTGGGGACACCGCATGAGTTCACTGGGCCCAGCTGCCGGCGAGCAAGTGCCTCAGCGGACTGCGTTCCAATGCCCCGTCATGCCCCGTCTATCCGCTGGAGATCGGGTTTTCTCGCTTGGAGATGCTGGAGATTTCTAGACTCTCTTTGCTTTCACGGCAAACTCATGGTGCCGTATCACATTCATGGTCCAAGTATTGCACAAATTCAACACGTACACACATGGCGGGTTTGGTCCTTTGCAGTTTCCTTTTCATCTCCCCACCTCTGTGTTCATCCTGAACTTGCGCCTGCGCCGGTCGGTCTCGGGGTCTCACGATGGAAAAGTAGGGCAATGCTGAAAAGAAAGGAACATGAACATCATGGACCTGGATAAGCATCACTTGAAGTGTTCACAATCTGAGCCGTATGATCCACTTCCATGCCTAGTGGATGGCGCAACTGCAACATTACTTGCTGGGGGAAAAACATCCAGTGCACCAACATGCTTGGGATTCGGCATTGGATTACCAAACCTCAGCCTGTAGCAGTGAGCCAAGGACTTCAAGGACCTAAGGAATATGGTGCTCAGCTTCCGTCAACGCCGCTGGTCCTTCGGAGTCTGTGACCAAAACAATGCACGGGCTGACGACCTCGGTGAGAGCTGCGAAACACACACAGCGACACAGCGAGTCCACCAGGGCAGCTGGTGGTTTCCACCAGGCCAGCTGGTGGCAATCCCCACTTGGCGGTGGTTTTGCCCCGCTGAAGTGTGTCTGACTGTTTCATGCTGTGAGGGATATGAAGAGAAGTCATCTCCAAGCATTCCCATGAATGATATTATGTCTTGAAGATAACATATACCAACCTATATAGATTGCAAATTAAATGAAACACAGCCTTGCAAACACCACATGATTTCATGTATTCCAGCATCCGATCCAATCTTTCGATAAGTATGAAGGCTGGACTGATCCAAATGTCAGTAAGTACGCTTGACCGACTGCCAACTGGTGGCCGAGTGACAATCCCTCCACAACACCGGTCTCTACATCGACCGTCGGTGAATAGGTCTCCAAGTCGATGGTTTCACCATCAGCGTGGCGTCGAAGGAGGTCAAGCATTTGAAGAGTTTCATCAAACCACGCCTCCCCGCACGAGCCCCGGATAAACCAAAATCACCGCATGAACATCTCGTGAATCTCTTGAAAGGAGATCACGCCGTAACTAAGCAAGGGGGTACTACCAAACCATCAACGATGGGCATTACACAGCTTAGCTTCAATCGGTTTCAATCGCTCGACTTGAATTCGGTGTAGCAAGCTTGCTGTTGCCTGGTTTTCAAGGTTCTGGGTGCCGGCAACAAACTGTGCGATGTGACGACAGAACCTTGGACGTAGCCAGAAGTAGAATAATTGATGACTGGTGGCAAAAAGAAACCTAGGATCATCCTTGATAACCTCTTTTTTCCGGTGTTTCTTTTTTTCACAGTTTCACCTGATCCAATCCTATCCAATCCTGGTCATTGTCCAGTATCTCACATCGACTCGACATGACTCGACACATTCCTTGAGCATTCCCACCTGACCTCAGTCTCCAGGAACTCCTGCTGCCAATGAAAGACCCAAAAGCTGCCACCGCGGCTGTAGCGCCGGTGGTCTGGAACCTTGGTGCGGTCTTGGTCTCCCGCGCGAGCGTCAAGAACCGCCAAGCACGGTAGCCCACCTTTGGAGGCAGGAAGACCAGGCCAAAGGCTTGGCATAGTTTCAAAGGCAAAAAAAGGGTCTATCCATTGGGTCTATCCTAATACCTGTAACAGTGGATGATGGTTCAGTTGCAGGCCTTGTTGCAAAAAGAGTCATAATTGTTTACTGACTGTTACAGGTAATAGGACAGACCCAAACTATCCAACATCCTCAAAGCTTGGTCAGGGATTACAAAGAAAACAAGAGTGGCCACCAGCACCAATTTTGGAGGAACCTCAGCGATGAACCATTGGTTTGGCCTGTGCTGTCTGTTTCACACACAAACATGACGTGGATGTTTAAAGAAGTGGATCATAAAACCTCGACACACAATTATATATCTTCAAATGTCACTCACCAATTGACAGCGCACCATAAAAGCAATTCTTCCTGCTGCGAAATTCGGCCAAAATTATTCCTTGCCAGAATACGTAAAGGAACTCCTCCGCCAAGTTGAGCAAATTTGCCCAGCGGATTGGCGCCACAGCAAGTACTGTGAGCGCTTGCCTTGGGACAGCAACATTGGACATGCATCTGATTCTGGAAACTGAATGCGCCAGCAGCAAAACCCCACAGCGCCAAGGGCAAATCCCTGTTAGGAGAAGGATGAGGTGTCCTGCGTTTGTAAACTACACGGTTGCTATTTACAATGCTTTGGACATCACACCCTCTGCGTCTGCTCATTTCAGCGGCTTGGGTGCGTGAGCGGTATTCTCTTCGATGGTTGATCGAAGGTACGGTTGATGGTGGGCAGGAAATGCCTGGGGGTTGTCTTAAACTACAGTTGTACTTGTGGAAGGCACAGGGCTTGGACAAATGCATCTCAAATTTTGGGGCGCTGGAGTGGGGGGAGGAGGGCTTCAGCTACGAGAAGCCACAGCTCAATCGATGGTACAGTTGAAGGGGTCTTCATGGGTCTTTGTTGTTTGGTTGTGTCTGTGTGCCGTGAGGTTTTAGAAAGGCCTTACTAGTAGGAACAAGAAGCTAGTAGAAACAATAAGCTTACTAATAGCTTCTTGTTACTACTAGTAAGGCACTCGTTACTACTAGCGTGGCACTTGTTCCTACGTCAATCCGGTAGGTTCACTCGGACTCATTAAAAGCAAAAGTGCGGGTCCAATGCGACAAAGGACAACTGTCAGGATCGGGGTTGGGTGCAGAATGCTTGGCTGAAAAACGACAATGAAAGCAAAACAAACAACGGCATAAGTTTTGTTTGATGCAACAAAACAACAAAGGAAACCAGCCACAAGAAAAACAAAAGCAAAGCAACACACATTCCCAAAAATCAACGTAGCATCCTAAATCAAACGCTCGCCCCTTCTCTCAAGTCGGCTCTTACTTACCGCCCGCCCGCCCGTGGCGATCCTTTCGCGGCAAAACAAGTAGGTTCTCCATAGTTTTCGTTTTGCACGCTTCGTGAAGGCCTGTTTGCCTTTTGTCCCCTGCTCCCAAACTTGTGATTCCTGTGTAAAGCATTACACGTGAACACCTATATAAGGCTCAAATTGTATTGCTAAATCAAAGGACGTCAGGATTTGGTGAGTGTATTGTTATATACTGTTTTGTTTCTAGAACCTATATATGTTTGGAGATCCATCACTGTACTTGTGCAATCTTGCGTAAATTTTGACCATACTTAATGTCTTTCACCATCCAGTCGCCAGCCTTTTGCCAACTGTTTCCCTTTCGTGGAATGTCTAGTTTTGAAGCTTCACGGATGACTCCCATCTCAATGCCGAAACCATGAGTAAGCATTGCAAAACATTCAGCAGCTTGTTACACTGATCAGCGCTCCAAAACAGTATAGCACCATTAAAAAAAGAGTTTACAATTTGCAAATTGTCTCAGCAAGGCCTTACAAACCTCGGGTAGACTTGCGACACGGGGTGAGGATAAACAATTGAAATGACGTGAAACAAGGGCCCTCTTATACAACTTGAGAGGAGGGAGACACGAAAGGTAGGACGGGAAGAGAAGAGAACGCGAGAGGCAGGAACAAACATGCAATGTTCGACATGGTGATTTATCCCCTCGGAGGCGACCTTTCGTAAATATATGTTCATATGCACTCTAAATGTTCAAACATATATGCTCTCGAAATGTTCAAAAAAGATTCTTAGGAAAACAAACTTGCCCCATGGCTCAGATCATCGGTGAGCATTGAATCGGAGCATCATAGGATTTGAACTATCCTGAAACCATAAGAGGCTCACGAAGACGCTCCCCACGAGAGAATTGACGTGCTTCACAAAACAAATAGGTATGTATCCCCTCGGGGAATACCTTTCGTGATTAGAATTTCATATGCACTCTTTCTGAATGTTCAAGAGGGTTTCAACTATCCTGAAA